GTAGTAGTAGTAGTAGTAGTAGTAGTAGTAGTAGTAGTAGTAGTAGTGGCAGTCCCCTTAGAAACCAAGACACCTTTTTCTAGGATAATAATAGTAGTAGTAGTCATGGTAGTAGTAGTGGCAGCAGCAACTAGCATTCATATAGACCATTAAGGTTTACAAAGTGCTTTATTTATGTTATCTCATTTGATCCTCACACCAACCTTGAGAGAGATGCTATTATTATCCCCATTTTACAGATGAGCAAACTGAGGCTGGAGGTCACATAGCTTATAAGTACCTGAGGTGGTATTCAACCTCATGTCTCTCTGACTCCCGACACTATAGTCTGTGCCACATGGCTGCCTCTGAATTTAAAACTAGGAGCTAGGACATCTGGGTTCTTGTCCTAGCTGGGCCTCTCCAGTGCCTTCAGGGCCCCAGGCCCCTCTCCTCAAGATTCTTGCTGCCAGTATTGTAGTTCAGCATCTGGGCAACAGGTGTGTAGGATTTTTTCCCACCATGGCAGCCCTTCTCTGTATGCTTCCTCAATCCAGAAAGTGAGACTGGACCCCAGAACAGAAAGGGGGAGTAGGAGGAATGCTGGCAATACTAGGCCCTTCCTAATTTCTAGCTGCCTCGGCTTAACTGTCCCTTGGGGCAGTGGAGCTGACTCTCCCTAACCCTCCTCTTCTATCCAGGCTGCTCATACTTAACATGTGAGGGAGAGGTAAGAGATGGCAGCCAGTCCCCCCTAACACTGAACAACTGTGAGAGCTCTCACCCCCCCCCCATCTTTAGCAGTCCTGTCTGACAGTTATTCCTTCTTCATCACAGTCACACACGAACAGATCTCTAGAGGCATATATATGGACTTATGTTGTTCACTTGTTTCAGTCGTGTCCAAATCTTTGTGACCCCTTTTAGGGGTCTCTTGGCAAAGATACTGGAGTGGTTTGCCATTTTCTTCTCCAGCTCATTTTACAGATGAGGAACCGAGGGAAACAGGATTAAGTGACTTGCCCCGGGTCACACAGCTAGTGATTTGCTATTTCCTTCTCCAGCTCATTTTACAGATGAGGAAACTGAGGCAAATAGGGTTAAGTGACTTGCCTAGGGTCACACAGCTAGTAAATGTCTGAAGCTGGATTCAAACTGACTCCAGGGCCAGAGCTCTATCCACTACACCACCAAGCTGTCCTATATATAGATATATACACCGATGCAGTAACACACACACACACACTCCCTCCCCCTCTTTCTCTTTCTCTCTCTCTCCCCCTCTGTCTGTCTGTCTCTCTCCCCCTCTCTGTCTCTGAAGTCCTGAGGTCTTCTGACTACAGAGGAAAAGTTTGCCTGTAAGTAGGCCTGATCTCCTGATCCAGCCATATCTGGGCCTTGGAGAGTCCTCAAGCGGGAGATGGCCAAATCTAGGGAGTGGCAGGGACTCTTGGGGGCCTCCCCTCTCTCTCTGCTGGCTCATTATGGTCGATGACATGTTTTACATGTAGAAAGTCCTTGAGTTCTTATTCTTTGCCTCTCCGGCCCCTCCCGCCACCCCTTCCCTGCCAAAGGTTTCCATTTTAGAACCTGGGTGCAATGGGAGACAGCCAGGTTGCCCAGTGGGTTGAGCGCTGAGCCTGGAGTCAAGAAGACCTTAGTTCAAATCTGGCCTCAGACACTCACTAGCTCCGTGATCTTGGGCGAGTTAACTGTCTTAATCCACTAGAGAAGGAAATGGCAAACAAACCACTCCAGTATCTTTGCCAAGAAAACCCCTTATGGGGCCGAGAAGCGTCAGACTTACTAAAGAAGCAATCGCTAGACTTCCTAGCTAGGCAAGGAGAATAGTTATCACATTTTGACCTTCAGCAACTGGGGACTCAGGGAAGGACCTGGGGATACCTGACCCGGCTTTCTAAAGCTAGTCCACCATGCTTGTCCTCTTCTCTCCTTCCCATTAGATTGCAATCCTCCCAGAGATGTGGGGGCTGGGCCTGAGGGTGTTTGGAGTAAAGACGTATAACCTCTGCTCCCAGCAGTGTGGAGATGGGGGGTGGGGCAGCCCTTTATCTGATCCAGGCCTCCATCCTGGCCCAGTGAATCTATTTTTCCAGTCTCACTAGCTGGTATTTCAGTTATGTTCAAGTCAAAGAACATTTTTTCTTAAGTGCCCAGTGATTGCATAACCTTGATGCAAACACACTGGAAGGGAGCATTCTTACCCTTGTGGAGCCTATATTTTTCAGTCTCTTGCTATGCTGTGTGATTCTGGGTAAGTCTTCTATCTGTGCAGTCTTGTAGGAGGATGTGGCACGCTTACAATGTCTTCCATACTGGAAGGGTTTGTGTCCTTCAGTTGATGCAAATTTTGATCCCTCTAAAACAAGGGTTCTTAACTTTTTTTTTTTTTAGCATTATGGTGAAGCCTATTGACCCCTTCTCAGAAGAATGTTTTTAAATGTACAAAATCAAATACCTAAGAAACCAATTATACCAAAATAGTGTTTGAAATATTTTAAAAACCAACCAAATAAGTTTCTGGAGTCCAGGTTAAGTGCCCTTAGTCTAAAATTTAGTGAATAGTCTTTAAATCTTGTTATGGACTCATAGATCATAGTTCAGTAATTGGTAGCCGACCTCATGATGAGGATGAGCGTCTCTGAATTTAGCCAGGTTGGTTTAAGCAATGGGCAAGCAGGCTTTTTAATGCACTAGAAGCCCATCCACATAGCTTTCAAAATCCTGTGGCCCCTTCAGCTCACAATCAAAGCATCAAATATGGCTTCAGTAGATGATGACACATACACAGATTACAATTGTACATTACAGGTATACATTACAGGTGAGTGCAAAGGAAGTCAAGGTTGATACAGATTGGGAGATCAGGGAAGGCTTCCTGGAGAAGGTGGCCCTTGAGCTGTGCTTTAACAGATGGATAGGATTTGAAAGGGATGGTGGTGTGGAAGAGGGAAGGGGATATTCTAGGTTCAGATAGTGGCCTCAGCTGAAGCATGGTGGGAAAAGGTGTTTGTCCTTTGGACTCCGATTGCTTCTTCCTTGGAACCAATCCAGGGGTGACCTACCTTTGGCCCTGGGACTTTCTCCCTTCACCATTAACTTCACCCTATGTATCCTTCGAGTTGGCAGTTAGGTGGTGCAGTGGATAGAGCTTCAGGCCTGGAGTCAGGAAAACTTGAGTTGAAGTCAACCCCCAGACACCAGCTGTGTGACTCTGGGCAAGTCACTTAACCTTGTTTGCCTCAGTTTCCTCATCTGTAAAATGAGCTGGAGAAAGACATGGCAAACCACTCCAGTACTTCTACCAAGAAAACCCCAAATGGGATCATAAAGAGTCATTCACTATTGAATAGTTCAATAGTCATGACTTCCTTTGCACTCACCTGTAATGTATACCTGTAATGTACAATTGTAATCTGTGTATGTGTCATCATCTGCTGAAGCCATATTTGATGCTTTGATTGTGAGCTGAAGGGGCCACAGGATTTTGAAAGCTATGTGGATGGGCTTCTAGTGCATTAAAAAGCCTGCTTGCCCATTGCTTAAACCAACCTGGCTAAATTCAGAGACGCTCATCCTCATCATGAGGTCGGCTACCAATTACTGAACTATGATCATCTATCCCCTGATTGATATAAGAAGCACCTGGTTAAACATCAGCACTCAATCTCTACTGACCCTCCTTCGTAGTTGCTACTAAATCTTTCTCCCTGAATCTAATGCTCACTTCCTTTGCTTTCATACCCCAGAGTGTATTAAATTTTTTTAATAAAATGTGAGGGCCTAAGTTTAGTTTGAGTGCCTTAATGGGGGTAGGGGTAGTGAATGAGCCTTAAACTTAATTTGGGCCCAGTAACTCCTCCCCCCTCCATCTATGTGAAACTAGAGTTTTAAAGATCACCGT